TATTTATTTACTTTATAAACGTCTTAAATAATGAAAATGTGGTCAGAAATATATAAAACTAGACTTAAAAATATTGAGATTAATGTAGGTTATTAAATTAAAATCACCTTTATTGATAGTCTCTACAAGATTAAATTTTTTTTTAATTTACTGTAAATTTAATTTAGAATTTTTCTTTCGAGTATAATTATTAGATAAGACCGTCTAACTATTATTGATTCAAAATAAACGGTTCTCTTAATTTGATAGTTATTATTATTTTAATTTTAGTAAACCAAATCTTAAACAAAGACATAATTATAAATTTGGCATTTTTAATTGTTTATTTTTTTATTAAAATTTTCAATTTTCCTTTGAATTTATTAATGTCAAAAATGCATTTGCTTGACATTTTTAAATATTTCAAAAAATTCGGAGGGATTTCTAGTTAATTGTTTCCAGTTCGTAAAATCATTGTCCTGAAAAATTTAAACCACTTCGATTTTAAAGAAATATTTGATGCTCACCTCGGCACAATCAGTCTAGTGAAATAAATGCGCGGTTATGATTATATTGTTTTCTTTAATAAGTAACTGAATACGGTCTACACTCAAACTCTCATATTTAAATTTTTGAAACTAATTTTTTTAAATGTTAATGATAAATTCTATCATAGGTACTAGATTGTAATCAGCGTTTTTAAACTGCAATTTTAATGTGCTCCAGGAAAATTCTAGTAGTTAATTTCTCTTTTTTATTTTATTTACCTATTTATCTTTGAATCCTTTATTTTAACACTTTCATAAGACTTTCTTTTTAGTTGTTTGTACGAAGTAAAAAGGAAGTATTGAAATCGCGAAAAGTTTCAGGCAGCATATTTCAACGAAAATATGCATTTTGACCGCTATCGAATGCAATTAATTGATGTTTTTGTGTAACACATCTGTACGTAAGGACAGAACAAAAGACTCTTTTCCTCCAAAAAAATTATAAAACTGCTTTAAAATGAATTCTGAAGAGAATGTTTCGTGGCGTCTGTACGTATGTACGTATCTTGCATAACTCAAAAACGAGTAGCCTCAGAACGTTGAAATTTCGTATATATTAGGACTGCTATAACATGCAGATGTGCACCTCGTATTTTGATTGCAATCGGCCGCACCAAACGTATATAAATATATTTATTAATATATCCACTCTGTTACCCGACTCAGTGATATTAGATTCTTTACTCTTATATGATTCTAAATTGTGCATTTTTGTTTTAAAAATATTGAATTATGTTGTTCTTATCTTCTGGTTAAGGTTTTTATGCCTTTAGTAAATGTGCAAGCAATATTTGTAGTATTATCAACAATTTAAAAGCTATTTAAATGCGGTTAATTTTTAAATAACATGGCGGACATGTTTGTTTACATTTGAAACAACAGAATAGTAGATTTGTTGCCAATCTAGAGAGACTACGCTTCCCAACAGCAAAGATGAGAATTAAATCATGCTTAATCTTTTCTGGAATGTTTTCGAGGAAATAAGTGTTTAAGATTTACTTCGTAATTTTTAATATAGATATTTTGAGTTTTCATGTATTTTTGCCTTATCGCGAACGGAGAACTGAATTAATTGAATGAGAAATACTCAAAACCGTGTATGAAAAACTGTTTCCTTTTTGTTTTGTTTGCTTAATTTCTTTTATACATTGTTCTAGCTTTATTATAGTATTTGAATACAACATGTGGCAAAGATTAGATAATTATTCAAATGATATAAAATTTGCGCATTCTGACTTATAATATGAACGAAATATAACGCTATTAAGTGAACCTAGCGCCAGAGTGTCGCTATGGTAAACAGATATAGTGAATTTGAAAGAGTGCATTTATTCTATTCGCTATCGACGAAGTAGATTTAATTAAATCCAATAAGTTTAAATGAAATGCAAGAAAAATTGCGTATAGTTTAATATTCCGTACAAGGAAGTCATGTGGTGTACACATCAGATTTTTTCTGCTGGTGTTATTTGCCATTTGGCATCCCTTTGATACAATGTTTATATATTTGTAGTCTGTGGTCTACTTGTGGGAGCGCTACTAAGTAGGCACCAAGGTTGAATTGCTGCTGAGCGTAAACATGCAGCGGTACCTAAACAAAGTATTAAGCCTTGAAATGATGAAAGCAAAGATCCTTGACCATATTTCAGGTAGGTTCAACTATTCCATTCGCAGTGAAAATAAGTGGTGCGCAAAGTTCATAAGATCATGATGATTAAGGAAAAAACAAAAGAAAAGAGTTATTTCCCAGCAGTCCAGTTTTCAAAATGTTGAATCAAACGTGAGCAAGCTGAGTAACCATTAGAGTAGGGTCAATGTTATAACTCCTACTCAGCAACGGCCATCAGACGTGCTATCACAAATGAACAATAAACTGCTCTAGTTTATTGTTGTTGCTGTCGTGACGTATTTCACTTGCAGGCAGTAACATCAGAATAAGCCCACGAAATCCGTCGTGGTAAGGAGTGCAAGATCGCACCTGTCGTTGTCAACAGCCTTGAGCGCGTACTGGTGACAGTACGGCTTTGCTCAGTTCTGCCCCCAATTTTGATGGAGAGCATCCCGGTGGACACATTCGAGGGTCTTCCCCCCCTCTTTCCCTATCGAGAAGACTTTCGGCTAACCGCGTATTTAGAGTGTACCATGCCGCAAAGACACTATATATTTACAAACATCCATGCCTTCTTCGGGATTCGAACTCGGGGCCTTCGCTGCGGCAATCAGATTCACTAACCGCTATCTCGGTTGGACGGGTCGAAATAGTTTGAAATAAAATATATAGATACAATTTGTTTTAGTTTTATAAAGTGCTAATGATGTTTCAAGTGTATGCTTACAATTGTACAGCCTGCGTGTATGGATTACTACTATTTGTAGAATGCTTGTTTCATAGAGTTATTGAAAATTAACATTCTCAGTTTTTTTTTTTTTTTTTTTTTGTTACCAAAGACATTTTTAACAGTAATACGAAAATATTGTTTGTAAAATCTCTTTTCTGTATTTTTTCTTGTGTTCTTCTACTTGTCACACTTAAAAACAGAATTTAAGCAGTCATTGATCTTATAAATGTGACGCAGTTCATTCAGTTTCAAGAAAAAAGAATTGTCAGCAGTACACGTGCCATCAAAAATACTCTGTATTATACCTTCGGTTCTATTTGCAGCTTAAAGTCATGTGCTTGTCTGTAGGAAAATATTTTTAATTCACTCCTAAACTACTTGCAATCCCCATTTCCACAGAGTTAGCCTTAGAGTTCGTGCACAGCACAGAAGCTCAATTTTATTGTGCGTCATTTAAATTCTTTTACAGATCCCCTCCCTCCCCTTACCCTCCCAAAAATAATGTCTGGTGTCATAGCAACACCCTTTTTGCTTCTCAATTACTTATAATGGAAAAAACGTCGGTAACATTTTAAGCCTATTTTATAAATAACGTTTTTTTTTTATATGTTTTATTTATTTCATGGGAAAAACTCATTGGTTTCGGATTATAGATAATCTGTTGTTAATAATAATAACACTCATGCATAATACAAGTTATTTGTAAGTCCATGAAAAAGAAGGGAAACAGTTAGTATACAATTAACTAAACTGGCATAAAAAATAGTGTTTGGGAATATTAAAAAGAATTTAATGCAGATGTATCTAATTTGCTTTTTATCTTCAAAAGCACACAGTTTGCCAATTTTGCTGATACGGCAGATATTTATGCATGCATGATTGAAAGGATTTACTTAAACATTCAGGCAAGCTGTCTGATGGCATAGTTAAATGAAAGCAGGGAGGGTAAATTAATTGACAGTTGTCTGTTTCATTACCCGAAACACCATTGCCGAAATCATTTACAGGAATATATCAATCAAATTTTACAGAATGGTAGATTCCATTTGCGACAGTATCTCGTTAAAAATTTGTCACCAAAGTGGATAAGATGCTCAGCACAAGGAGATGGTAGCATAATATTAAAGTCCCACCATTCTCTGCATTTAAATCTTAGGTGGCCGCCGGCCACAAAAAAACGGGTTTCTGGGCTGGAGCCCTATGCCAGGCTAACACGATATATAATAAACATAGCATGAAAAAATAACATAAAAGCAGAATAGCATTTCAGATAGCAAATCCTTGTAGGTGCATTTAATTCTACGTGACCTTTTCTTGTGTGTGGGAGATGGCGCGTTTGCTAGCGTTCTTGTGTTTTCGATCCTCGTTCGTTACCAGAATACTTCTAATCCTACCATTGATGCTGTACCTCTGATCCGTCTTGCGGTAATCGAACTCATGTGTGACAAATGGTTTATCTTGTGGATGTCCATCGTATCAATAAAGGTGAACAAACTGAGCTTTGATAAAATGCATTAAAGAAGAAAAACGAAAAGTTTGCCTTTATTTAGGGCAATAAAATTTACTATCTATTGCATAGTTATTTGCAGTGACACTTTTAAAATATTCTATGAAATTACTGATTATCCTGTAATATTTTCTCTAATATTTCCTTACCTTTATCTTATAACATTTTCTGTATTATTTGCCACCTTTATCATTCCATTTTCTGCACTTACCCTGCATTATTTTCTGCAATATTCTACCTTTACGGTTTTCTGTAATTTCCTAATTAAGATGCTATTTTGAATAACATACTATTTTTCTTAAAGATGAAAATATAAACACTTCAGGAAAGGCAAGTTAAGACCTTAATATATATTATCTCATGCACTGTCGTTGAAGAAAAGTTTAAGAAAAAAATAAGACTTCATAATGATACTGTAATGCGACAATAATTTAATTGCAATTCATATGGTAGTCTGTCTTTTATTGTAAAATTAATTGGCAAATAAACAAAAGTTGTTACTACAATGAAAGTATTATTAATTTTGTAAGAAATAAGCGTTTCTCAGCATAACAGGCATAAAAGTGATAGACATGAAAACAAAAAAAAAAAAAAAAAAAAAAAAAAAAAAAAAAAAAAAAAAAAAACTTTTATCTGATTATAATTATAAACATTTATTTAGTTGAAGATGCCGAAACATGGTCACATCTTTCTCTTTAAAAGTAATTAATCCTGAATAGCATCTTAATCCTAAATTCATGAAACATTCTTCTTTTTCTGACACATAGCCATCGCTGCTAAACAAAATGCTGAAAAGAGAAAAAAAGAAATTTATCAGTTGAAATGGGTAAGAATACTCTTCACCAATACTGAATTTCGAATTTAATTTAGTAAAGGAAATCCATAGGCTATATTGAATATGGAATAATTCAGAAAAAATCTGATTCACCGAGTGAAGGTAGTTTTAGCTGTTGCCTAATGTGCTTGTCGTTTCACAATAAATTCTTATAAAGAAAATGACAGGCAGCTGAATTAAAAAAAAGTTATTAACCAGTAGATAATCTTAATCAACGAACCTTATTGAACGTGTGCTGAAGTCTTTTCACAATCTTGGTTCAGTCCATGCATAGTGCCTGTTTATGCAGTTTTAATAATTGTAAATTTAGTATCTATTGCGTAGTTATTTGCTATGTTGTTATTGCATAGTATTTTGATGGTCTTTATCGAATTTTAATGATATTCTGAAAATATTGCAAAAGTGTTTTTTTTTTTCCTTCAGAGTACTTATTTTTTAGCTTGTGGTCTGGAGCGAGAATTATTGAAATTTGAGTTACAGAATTTTTCTGGGAATGTCCTTTGGGCTCTTTTTATATCTATCACGATGAAATTAAATTAAATGTATTGCTTTGAAATCAGCAAAAGTCACTGTTAAGTTTTTGTTACTATAGTTTTCATTCAGGCAATCCCGCAGTTACTTAGGAGGATTCAAAAAAGTTAAATTTAATTGCAGAATGTTGCTGTAATTGGCAGCAAAATGTAGAGTTGCAAAGAGGGCGGAATTAGTCCAGCTGCATGCGGGACTAATTCCTAATAGCTGCATGCGGGTGGGGCTACAAGAGAAAACGTCACGGCAAAAACGGTACAGACGAAAATTTCACTGCGAAAACAGCCCTGGTAAAAAATAAAGCACCTACAAATCATCGCAAGAGAATGATAAAGCGGTAAATATAACTATTCGGGGTGAAAAACGATAAATGAACTTTTTTTTAACGAATTGTGAGCACAACGTAAATTATATATATATTATTTCATATTTTTTCGCAATTAATTTATATTTTTTTTTCTTGAGAATGCAAGAATAAAAACTTAAGCATTCAAAATCTGGTGTTTAGTAAAAATTAATGCTATGTATTGGGTTGCTAGAACTTATGAATTTTTCTCTGTCCAATATTTTTTATAATATATTTTTCATGAAAATGTACTAATTCTTCTCATAATAATGTTTAATAAAGGTTGATATTCACTAAAAGAAAGCACAAGAAGTTTGATTATTCTACGAAAAGATAATACAAAAAATAAATAAAAATAAACTATTTAGTTTAGAAGTTTGGATTTTTATTTATTTATCATTTTAATTAATTATTTAATTAATATTTATATTTATTAGCCCAAAGGGGCAATTTACCGAGACGGAGTATTCAATTTCATTTTGGCATTTTGCGTTGGCACTATAAATGGCGAATCACTTTTTAAATTGTTGACACCAAATATTAGAACCTTGTATTTTATTTAAAGAAATTAAATAACGAAGAATCTACATAAATGTATGTTTGTTTCTCGCACTATGATAAAACAACGATACATCAAATTTTGAATAATGTAATCCTCCACCGATTATGAACATCTAGAAGCCCAAATTTGGAATTTGTCTAATTATCTATTTCACATTTTGTAAAGCATTAACGAGTTTTTGAGTAAGAAACTCAAGGATTTCAAAGCGAACAATGGCAATACTAAACAGTGAAAAAACATATTTATCTCCAGCGCGCGAGACTGTGTATAGGAAATTGACACACAAAATATTTAAAAGATATGCTCTTTTAAATATTTTGTGATATTGCTGTTCAATTGAATTTAGTGGTTTAAATGTGAAGAACATGATATTTAATAGATAAATGTCACACATAAAACGTTAATAAAACGCCCCTTTGTGCGTAATATAAAATCTGAAAGCCTTCAGACTTGTTTTACTTTTCATTTTTTTACTTAATTTATTTTTTGATATTTCAGCATCAAAAAGTAATCATAATCTTGTCGCTTGAGGGATTGGTTAAAAATAAATTAGGCAAATTACAGATTGATTGTTCCCCATTTAATGTGATTCAGTGTATTCCTTTTGTAAGATACTAAAGTGTGACATTCATGAACTTATTATTTTATTATTTCTTTCATGTATTTAAATAGATAAACATAAAAGAAAGCACATTTATGAGAGCATTTAATTTATAAGGTTTCGGTTGCTAAAAATATGTAAATAATATTCACATAGAAGCTTGTTACTTTAGGACTATCTGATAGTCACATTAAAAATTTATTAGACTATAAATATGCGTCATTTTCAATTTATGCAAATAATATTACAAGTTGGATATGTGCCAATACTTGAGCCTGAAACTATTTTCAAGAAATGTATTCTGCAGGATATTTTTAATGAAAAAATTTGCATTAGTCACAAATTTTCCCTATAATTTGCATATCTGTGCTGGTCACGTAATGTATTAATACCGGTAAACTCTGTCTGAACTCTAATTTCATTTTTCAAATTTACACATTTCGTTGTCCAAATTTGTGTATGACTTCTAAGTTTTCAAGGAACATGATATCAAATTTTAAAGTTAAAAATTTCGATCGATTTTTCTCATATATGAGCCAAACCTTTTGTATTTTATTTTCTCGAATAAGTATAAATGCTTATGTCAGTATAATATAACTGTAGGAATAGGAAAAATATATAAAATCTTAGATTTCAAATTTTTTTTAAAACTGATTTTTTAATTGTAAAAATGCAAAACACGAATATTTGCTTTATATAAAATATTTTCATAAGTATAGATCTATGACTAACAATTACGAAAATAAAACTACATTAATAATTTTATGCGTACACTGTATATAATATATAACACATCGAATTGATATGTCCTATCTAATTTGACGTCAGAGTATAAGGAGCGTAATAGTGCACAAGGTCGATGACGAATTGTAATATGCCCAAGGTCAATGATGAATTGTTTCTTCAAAAATTCTATTTTACGTAGATCCAGTTCTGAAGATTTCAGAATTTTAAAAGAATTGAACTGCTATACCGAATCCTGGAGATCAGTGGAATTATTTAACTCTTTCAATTCTTTAGTCAGGAAAGCGAATTTATAAATATAAGAAACGCTTAAGAAATGAGCGATTCACCTACTCAATTCGGATACTCATAAACATAGCTACTCCCGAAAATGAATTTAAGGAGAAAAAAAAATTGAACTGGGGAAAAAGAGGATATTGGGATTTGAAGAAATAGAGAAAGAAAAAGTGCGCTTTGTCTTTTGAATACTTAAATTTTTATAAAGGAAGGAGAATAGGATTGGTCGCTGTTTAGAATTTTAAATTAAATGTACAAGAGCATAAAGTACAAACAAAATGTCTAGAATGAGAGTCTACGTTCAAGTCCTGAGAAGATTAACGTTTCTATTTTGTAAGAAAGAAGACACTCTCAGAAAATAAGTTATTTTAACGTTATGCCTTTGAAGATTTATCGAGATACCATTCTCCCTTGTGTTCAGAAAAGCGAAGGATGAAGTACGATCGCATGTAGCTTTAAGAAGATTATTTTCAGCCAAAGGTATAAATAGACTGTATCATCCAAATCACCAAAAAAGAAGATTTGGAATAGAAAAACTATTCTTCTTTAGATAGCATTTCAGAAATGTTAAATGAATGGGAGAATAGATAATGTTCTTAAGAAAGTGTTCAAAAATTGTAAAAGGCACGTTTCACAACAAATTAGTAAATTAAAAACAATGCGAAAAGGTTTTAAAAAATAAAAAGTGTAAAATAATATGTAAATTAGTTGAGAATAGAAAATTTGGGGTTAATACATTTCGATTCAATCCATTTGTAGAGTCATTAGGCTATTTTGATGCTAGAGACATGAAAAAATGAACAATGCCCTCTGCGGGACTCGAACCTAGACCTCTGGAATACGCACCAAGGGTGCTACCATTACACCACGAAGGCAAGCAGAGACGAGGGGGAAAATACCTTATACATTGACACAAGTAGTTATAGACATCATCATAAAAGTCAAAATGTAAGATATGAGCATTTGCACTGCTTATCTAGCTTATAGCTTACCATTCAGATACTGAATATTATCGTTTCGGGTTATTTACACGTGATATAGAAAAACAGTTATCATAAATACTATCAAAGCTAACAAAAGTAACTAAAATGTGTGTAGGATATATATTTTACAAGACGGCAAAATCAAACTAAGGAACGACTCAGTATTTCTTTACGATTTCTATGACAACACAAATTATGGTTTCAACAATAAAAAATAGATTCTACAGCGTCAAAACTCAAAAATGCAAGGCTTACCAATCTAAAAATAAACTCAAACGTTGGCCTAGTGCGTAATAAATTAAAATAAACTTACCGTGTTGCGTCCCAGCTACAATTTTTGGCACTCAACGAAGCTCATTGACAAATCAAGGTCAGAAATCGCAAGGGGGAAAACGGTTTGAGAATGTTCATGTGCAGCTATATCATAACGCAAGATATGCATTTTTAATTAATTAAATTTATATACTTCTAGTAAAGAGCAGTATTAAATAGAAACAAAGAGTATCGATATTTAATAGTTAAAAAAAAAGAGGTTACTTTGACTAAAAATTAAAATACGTATCTTTTAGCCCAAAGAGGACAATTTTCCCACAAGGGCTATTAATTTTGTTTTGGTACTTTTTGTCCATTATAAAATGGCGTTTCACTTTTCAAATTGTTTCCATCAAATATTAGAGCCCTGTATTGTATTTAAAGAAATTAAATAATGAAGAATCTGCATGAATGTATCAATGTTTTTCGGTCTGCGATAAAACAGCGCTGCCTAGACATGACATTTTGAATAAAGTAGTCCTCCACTCGAATATGGGAATCTGGAAGCCCAAGTTTGGAATTTGTTTCATTATCTATTTCATATTTTTAAAACTCTAATGAATTTTTGATTAACAAGCTCAAAGATTTCAAAGCGAGTAAC